CCCGCCACGCACCCTACCCACGGCGCCTATGTGCTGTGTCCCTCCCAGCACCCGCGGAACTTTCAGCGATTTCCGCGGGTAGAGTCTCTTTTATGGAGTTCCCCTCCCCCGATCCAGTCCTAGCGGTCTCCTGTGGCAAGAAGCCGCCTCCAAACTCTCCCCTGTAGACTCCGGCGCGGCGTCCGATCCGGGGAGCGCGCGCTGGGGCCAGTCCCTCCCTTCCGATGAGGATGCAGCGCTGCGCTCCACTGTGTTGGAAATGGACCCAGCTCCTGTCCTGGCTCCCCACCGCCGGTCTGCGTCACCAACTCACACCGACCTCCGGCACTTCCCTGCCTGCGTGAGAGTGGGGTTTGGTGAGGGAAGAGTTGTCTTCCTGTGAGTCAGATCTCCCTGCTCGGGAGTGCCTGCCGCGGGGCGCGGGCGAGCACGCTGCAGGGCGCGGCTGTCCCGCGCTGTCTTTCCCCTTTGTCCCAACTCTCCGGTAATTTGCGAGTGTTTTTTGAGTTCACCTGCCTCTAGCCGTGGGGCTGCCTGTCCCTCGCTGCCTCTCTGTAGATTCACGAAGCCAATCCTGCAGGGGAGCGCCTCACTCGCGTGTGGGTGTCCGCGTCTTTCACCTCATACTCTGGGAGCAGAGAGCCAGGAGGTCACCCCTAATCGGCCATCTTCTCCCCCCAGCCTCACCATTGTTTTTTGTGGCTGAGTAGTACTCCATGGTATACATATACCACATTTTATTAATCCATTTTATTAATCATGTAAGGATGGGCACTCGGGTTGCTTCCACATCTTTGTAATTGTGAATTGTGCTGCTATATACATTCTAGTGCAATATAAAATGTCTTTTTCCCTTTGGGTAGCTGCCCAGTAGTGGGATTGTTGGATCAAATGGTAGTTCTACTTTTATTTCTTTGAGGTATCTTCATACAACTTTCCATAGAGGTTGTACTAGTTTACAGTCCCACTAATAGTGTATCAGTGTTCCTATCTCTCCACATCCACATCAACATTTGTTTTGGGACTTTTTGATAAAAGCCATTCTTATTGGAGTTAAATGATATCTCATTGTGGTTTTGATTTGTATTTCCCTGATGATTAGAGATGTTGAGCATTTCTGCATATGTTTGTTGACTATTAGTCTATCTTCTTTTGAAAAGTTTCTGTTCATGTCCTTTGCTCACTTTTTAATGGGATTGTTTGATTTTTTTCTTGCAGATTTTCCTGAATTCTATATAGATCCTAGTTACCAGCCCTTTATCAGATATATAGCATGCAAATATTTTTCCAATTCTGTAGGTAGTCTATTTGCCCTAGAGATAGTTTCTTTGGCTGTGCAGAAGCTTTTTAATTTGATCAGGTCCCATTTATTTATTTTGTTGATGCTGTGATTGCTTTTGGGGTCTTCTTCACAAATTTTTTTCCTAGGCTGATGTCTGTATGAGTTTTTCCAATGTTTTCTTCTAGAATTCTTATGGCTTCATGCTTTAGGTGTAAGTCTTTTATCCATTGTGAGTTGATTTTTGTGAGAGGTGAGAGGTGTGGATCCTGTTTCAGTCTTCTACATGTGGCTATCCAATTTTCCCAGCACCATTTTATTGAACAGGGATTCTTTTCCCCAGTGTGTTTTTGTCTGTTTGTCAAAGATTCGATGGCTATATGAGGATGATTTTATATTTGGGTTCTCTGTTCTGTTCCATTGGTCTATGTCTCTTTTCTTGTGCCAGTACCATTCAGTTTTCAATACTATATCCGTGTAGTATAGCTTGAGGTCTGGTAGATTGATGCCTCCCAATTTGTTCTTTTTGCTTAAGGTCGCTTTAGCTATCTGGGGTCTTCTCTGGTTCCATACAAAGTGTAGAATTATTTTTTCTAGATCTGAAAAAAATGATGTTGGTATTTTAATAGGGATTGCAATGAATCTGTAGATCACTTTGGGTAGTACAGACATTTTAACAATGTTGATTCTGCCAATTCATGAGCATGGTATGGTTTTCCATCTGTTTATATCCTCCACTATTTCCTTCCTTAGTGTTTCATAGTTGTCCCTATAGAGGTCTGTCACATCCTTAGTTAAATATATTCCTAGGTATTTTATTTTCTTTGTTGCTATTGTGAAGGGTATTGAGTCTTTGATTTGGTTCTCAGTTTGACTGGTGTTGGCGTATAGGAA